AGTACATGATAGCGCAGTGGAATGCCAATATACCAATGATCAACCCAATCAATATCGCAATACAAACCAAACAAACATCATCATCATAACATGGTGTGAAGGGGTCTGGCGCCCACACAGAAAGAATGCGCCAGTCCCCAAACATACAGAGACGAAGAGAAGGGGGATCAGACGAAGAGAGGGGGACGATGGGAGTGTCGTCAACACCAAGTCTTCGGTACGGGTCCCAAATGATCCCTCGTGCAATGTCTCAATCCCAATGTCGAGTCTGAATCCAAATGTCGTCAAGTCCCCAAGTTACAAATTTATCTCTCTCTTACACACACACACACACACGTGCGCACTGCGTTGCCACTTGTACGCACCCTCGTATGAGTACGGATTCGAACTCTTGTACTCGTACGCTAGGGGCCCCGTACGAGTTTTTTTTTTGTTTTTTTTTTAATCCGGTAGCGTTTTTATTTTTTTTCTCAAATTCTAATACAAATCTGGAGATGATGCTCACCAAATGTTGCTTGTTTTGTGCTGTTGCATCACATATATTTTTTTTCGGATGTTTTTTTTTTTTTTTTTTTGCTTTTTCATACGGGGACGTACAAAACGTATATGTACTCTATGCAACGTAGCGTGCGCACTTGCACACACGCACGCGCGTAGTAGTAGTATAGATTTTTGTGTTGTTGTGGTAGTTTCATTCGATGTAGCTCATCCTATCAATGAAAGCAGTGTGAGATCAGTCGTGCGATATACACTTTCACACTCACACACACAAACACATACACAATCATATACACACACCCACACACTCACAAACAAACAAACGATAGTGACAGTGTATATTTCAATGTTCTAACAGTAGATTCATTCGATTTAGTTCGGGGAGTAGGTCGCGTGGTAGAGACTTACCTGTTCTCTCTCCCTTTGCCCTTGCCACCATCGTAGTCGTAGTCGTCGTAGTTGTTGTCGTCATCGACATAGTCGCTGACAGTGCTCACTGCCCTTCACTTCCCAACACGATTCGTCACGCCTTGCAGCCTGCCGAGACCACCCTCGCATATGGTAACCACTGCATGCATGGTCGTGGCCATCTGCACCACTCGGGTGGCCAAGAGCGCAGGGCTCCCTACCAAGTCACGACACTTTCAAATGGAATGCGCCGTGGTGAGTACGGACACAGAGACGACGTCACAACAAAACTGCAACTGCTCTCCTTGGATCCTACGGGGTGAGGACGTCGAAGCTGAGTGGTGATCGTTCACCACTGCCTGCTCCTGCTACACGCCTGGATTTTTCACAAAGTGAGGTAAGTTGTCCCCCTCCCTATCTCTCTTCCCCGTCCTTTTTCTTCTTCTTCTTCTTTTTCTTTCTCTCCTTCGTCTCCTCCCTCTTTTTTTCTTCTTCCTCTTCCTTCCCCGCGCTTTTTACATTTTTCTCTCGTGTGCGCGCCCTCTGTTGTTTTTCGCTTGTTCGTCGGTTGCCTCTTCTCGCGGTGAGTCACTCCTCCACGACAACGATCTTCACCGTGTCGTGGGTAGACCCAGCAAAACGAGATCGCTGTAGGATCGGAATTCTTTCCGAGAACGAACTTGTCCGAAACTCGGGGCAAAAACACTAAGGTAAGAGATTCGTTTCACGTGGAAAAAAAATGAAATTAACTCAAGAATAAAAAAAAATAAATAAGAAATTCAAAAAGAAAATAACAAAATCTAAAAATCTAACTACTAACAACCCTAAACTGCCAAGTGTCATGCTCCGGTTTTCGAACGGGGCTAACTGTAACTACTAACTCTAACTAACTTCAATCTAGAGGTCACCGGTTCAAGCCCCGACCGACTGAACCCGGACGAAACTGTTGTGGAGCTCCTTGATAAAAGGAGTTAGCTCAGGGGTCGGTTGGATTCGTTTCCTGCATCCACCGCTTGACAATCCCGAACCTAAACCTACTGAGCTAACTCCTACTCTTGTTAAGAAAAGGGTCGCTCAGGTATATGTAGAGTATTGGGGTTTAGCCCATCTAGTGGCCCGAACCCGCTCCTGAGTTTGTGTGTGTGTACTCTTGTCAGTCTGCATGCCTCTCTGAGTGTTTGTCGGCTTGAGTGTATGTGTGATCTGAAATGATATTTGGTTGATCGGACGGCCCGAAGGGCCGGTACTTAGTTGTGACCACGACATTGAGGGTCGTGGTGGGGAAAACACTCAAGTGGCGTGTAGGCCGGTACCACACTAAAGTAGATGTATCGGGTACCTGAGGCCAAGTCGAAGAAGACAAGAGTTAGTATTTTTAGAGGGTCAGTACCGGTACGTAGACAGGTACCCGCCCAAGTCTCAGTGTGTGTCGTAAATCTACCCGACACAACACTAACCCAATCAACCCTTCGACCTTTTCGGTCGGAGGGTATTACCACTAATATTAACCATCACAGCGCGTGTCATAACAACGCGCGCGCGTACTCTCGAAATTTTCTCATCGATTTGCCCAGGCCTCAATGGTCGAGGAAATTGTTTCAACTGTCACGTCAAAGCTCGCACACCTTTTCCATTCTAGACCGGCCCCGTCATGGTAGCCGACGCCATCGTTGTGTCAAATGCAAAAGCATGGTCAAATACCCTTGTAAGGGTATTTGGTCCGACACCGTATTCGAAACTTCAGTAGCAATTGGCTTGCATGGAAACAGAGGGGGAAAAATAAGGAGAGTAAAGTAGAAGGATGGTGTTGAGGAGAAGGATATGGAATTTAATAGAAGCTACATAATCGTCTTTGATGATTGGTATGATGTGGACTCTTCAATCCCCTTACGTCCATTGTTTGGGTTTCTTGATCCATTCCCACCGCCAGTTGGGTCAATGGTCCCCATCTCATAGTATGGTCAAAATGAGGTTAACTAAGAAAGTGTTTACATAATGTTTACTTAGTGGATATGGAAGAAAAAAAAGGATTTGTTACCCACCTCTGGGCAAAAAGGTCCAAAAAGACTCAGAATGACAAAATTTATTGATTGTTGTTAAAGCTCTAGCATAAAAGAGAAGTCGCGGGCACCCTGACAAGGGTGAAGAGAGGCTGTAGCGCTATCATATGAGATGCTGCGCCAGGTTCTCAATACGTATGGGAACTTAGTGCGGTTTGATTTTTCTTTGGATTTCCCCATCAACAGAGCTATCTAAAGCATCACGAGGGATACTGGGTCCAATTCCCAGCATATCATCATTGTATTCAAGGGGACGCTAGACCCGGCGCAGCTCCCCAGGAATAGACTGCAGCCTCCTGCATCGATAGGAAGGAGTCTATGCTCTTATCATCACTCCTTCCTGTTGTCGCCGCCCATCCGCCTCGGTTGGGGGGCAATACAGTGGGGTGTCACTCTAACGCCAACTGAGCCTGCAGAGGAACGGATCAGAGCCCACCCCAACCCACCCCCTCTGCCTCGCTAGGCTAGAGCTCTAGCAAGCTCAGCTACCATGCTTGAACGCTAACGTCACCGCTACTCAGCGCATACTCGTACTACAGTCTTCCCCCGAAGAAAACGCAGGTGCGTTATGCTACAGGTTTTGGGCACCAACTTCTGAAAACGGGCTCTAAAAAAAAATCCGCTATATGCCCTTGCAGCCACGGGTCTGTCCTTGGGGCATCAGTCACAGTTGGAGCTATACACATAAATCGAGAAATGGTCCTCATTAAAAAAAAAAAAAAAAAAAAAAA